GCAGAAAACCCTATCTGCTTTTGACATGATCAAATCCTCTTGATTATTAACCCAAGTATAATTTCTACTAGACATACCAATTTCTATCAGGACCGAAAATCTACCAACTGTTAAATTTATCTACCCGTTTAAAATCAACTATACTATTCCTTTTGTCTGACTGTTTCCTAATGAAATTGAACAATAGCAGGGCCATCCCAATTTAAAAAGAGCTTACGCAACTCAGAGATGAACTCTTGCTTGCCTTCCTCATAGGCAGAGCCATACACAGTAGTTATTCTAGAAATAATATTAGTGCTCTTATCACGAAGGACTACACTAACAAGAAATTGTGAAATTTTCCAGCTAACAATATTTAAAACATCTAAATCTATTCCCACCAGGATGCCACCAGCATCAATGGTCCTATTACCTAAAAGGTTTTTAAGGAATTAGAGAAACTTTCCTTTTTAGTCTCCTGGAATCCCACACATGCAGGATTATGCGGGATTGTTGTATCATCTATGCGTTTCTTTCTACCAGTTGCAGACACCCCTCTAGCACTCCAAAAGATAAATTCATTTTAAAACTATTTTCTGAGGGTGCTTGCCCTGCCTATGTCTCCCAACATGAGTCCATTCTCCACGTACTCTGAATCAACACTAGCAGAACCAGCCAACAGCTGGCCTGTAAGACAACAAATCCATTATCGCAAACTACATGATCATCTACCGCAGTTCCTAAGTTTCCTTTGATCTGTATACAAATGTTACTAAATCTTTCAAGGATATCATCAACTGGTAAAACAATTAAAGGATTTGAGCTAATTATACCTTTGATTTTTTTGTTTAGAATTGCCAGATTCTGTTGCATTTTGAGCAGCTTGGCCTTTTCCATCACATGCTGGCTGCCAGTTACTCAACACTTTTCCTGGCAGGTTGAATAGGCCCCCAGAGCTTCTATTTCTTTTGTTTCTTCCCATCCTGATCTTCTTGCTTGTCTTCCAGTGTCTGGTCCCTGTCACCAACCTCCAGGCTCTCAAAAACAGGCATAATATCATCAGGTAAGTCAATGTTCAAGCTATATTGTTGCTCTGCTTGAACACCCTCATCTGCATTAGATCCTATGCCACCTTCCTCTTGTGCTGCATAAACTGAATATTTTTGTTCTTCCTCATCACTGGCTTGCTCCATTTCAGTAAGAAGGAACCTACTAATCTCCTTAACAGGATGTTCAGCAGGCATAGCGACCCCATCATCAGATGCCATAACGCTAACCGACTTGTTGTCCCCAGAGCAACCTTGTTCGAAAGCAAGTCACCCCTCTTGTAAATTGGTGTGTCATCCTCAGCAACTTCCTTGGATGTTATCCTTGGCACCTCCACCTCTCTGAGAACCACCACCAGTGAAGCTACCTCCACTCTTGTTGCTACTCCTAGAATTAGCATTACTCTCATTTGACATTCTATCAGACCCAGCATTTCCTTTGTCAGTTTCCATATCACCTTCTTTGGACTGTTGGTTGCCATCATTACCATCATCGGATCCACTTTCACTGGTAACCTTCTCAACTTGTCCCATTAATGGTAATTCCACAGTAATTCTGGTCTGAGACATCTTCCCTTCTAACTCGAACAATCTTTCATATGGTATCTTACTAGTATCCCTGCATTTAATTTTCACCATGACCACTTCAAATAAACTATGGAACATTTTCTGCCTATCTACATTCAACAGCAGACCAAAAGCAGACACTACTTGATCAAGGATGGATCATTCACACCATTTAGGCAATAATAAACCTCTAAGCTGGATCCAAGTTTCAGTTAATTCCTCAAAATTTTCTAATTCTTCCTTCCAAACTGCAACTCTGACAGTCACGTCTTCCTTTGACAGCCCCAAACAGGGATAGCCAGCCACCTGTTCAACTTGAATATGAGGAGTGAACTTAACTAAGAAGGACCACTGATCAAGCTCTCTAATCTGCCAAGGCCAATTGGTTTTATATATTACAGAGAACTCTTTGGCAAGTTCATCCTTAGAAATCTCACCAGACTCAGTATATGCAACTCCACAATTCTTGAAAGACCCAATTGCAAGGTTACCCATCTCCTGCACTTCTATGTGCTAAAACCTAGCTTAGCTATCCACCTGGTGTGCACTTGATTTGCATATGAAACAGATTTTAGGTCTCTTACACATGGGTTTTGTGATGTTTTGGGTTATCACAATTGAAACACATCACCTGAGCATACTCAGTAAACTCCTCTCCAACCTCTCTGCCAGTACCAGCACCATTGGGGTTTCCTGCAGCCATCTGGGATGGTTTTTCGGGGTTCTCCTTATGAGCATCCTTGGGCTGCCCTTCCTAGCTCTGCTGTTGCTGATGTTGAGGCTGACCAAGAGGTACCCACTGATTGCCTTGCGGAAACACAGGAGGTGGGTACTGAGGATAAGAACCATCAGGTAATCAAACTGCGAAGGAGGAGGCGGCTGCTGTAGACGCGTGTCCCCCTCTCCCTTCCTCCTCTACCTCTGTTCCCCTTAGCTATCATAACCCTAAGCAGCAGAAGCTGGAAATCAAGGCGCTCCCAACCCAAGATGTTCGCAAGCAGCTGAAACTCACCTTATCACCGAATTCCTTGTCCCAGATGATCACGAGCAGCTGAACTCACATTCTCACCGAATTCCTTGTCCCAGATCCCAGAAGGAAAGCAATCCTTGATCACAATGCAACAAACAAATCTTGCTGGATCCACACCGCCACCTGTGACTTCTCTCGGTTTTGGCAGGGGTGAAGGAGTGATTGGGGAAAAAGGCTCCCACAACTGTCCAAAATGGTCTAACCCCACCGCAGACGCTGACAGCCGGATCCAACGCACCCCAACCCTAGAAACCCTCACGGTAGCGTTCTCCTCGTCCGCGCCAGCAACCCTTGAATTGGAAACCGACTGAGTCATCAAGGACCAACAATGGCGAATCCGCAAACATGATCCCAACAAGACCAGCAATATGTCGAGCACCTGGAGATTGCAGCACTATCCTCTGTAGGAATTGACTTAGAACCCAAATGCACCCTCCATCGTCCCCGACGGCAAATCCACGACGCCTAATCTAATCTGAACAACCTCCATCGTGCTTGCTGAACTTTGAATGTTGAGGTGGCCTATTCTGCAGCCCACGCTAGAATCTGCTCCGCTGTCAGTGCTTTGCCTTGTTGGAACAAGCGACCTCGCTCCACTGTAATCCTGTCCAGAATCCACAAAGCCAGCTTGAGCCTGATCTTCTCCAATGCTCGATCTGCGCGAGCTACCGCGTCCATCAGCGCTAAGAGCTCCTGACCCGTCAGTTGCCTCCCCCTCCCATGCGGATCCATAGATTCTCCCTCGGGACCACTTAGGGAGCCCAGGATTTAAATCAGGAGACACGCCAAGCACAACCCCGAGACCCAATCTTGAACGAGGTGTTAGGGTATGCCGAGGTAGAGGAGAGAACATGGTGGCAAATCCAAGACGCATAATCTAACCTGAACAACCTCCCTCGTGCTTGCTGAACTCTGAATGTCGACATGGCCTCTGCCGTAGCCCACGTCAGAAGCTGCTCCGGTGTCAGTGCTTTGCCCTGTTGGAACAAGCGACTTCACTCCAGACTCCACTGTAGTCCTGTCTAGAATCCGTGAAGCCAGCTTGAGCCTGATCTTCTCCGCCGCTCGATCTGCGCAAGCTACCGCGTCCATCAGCGCTAAGAGCTCTCCCATGCGGATCCATAGATTCTCCCTGGGGGTCACTTGGCGAGCCCAGGTTCAAATCACCATATCTCGCAGGAGACACACCAAGCGCAACCCCGAGACCGACTCAGCGAGGCGAGAGGGTATGTCAAGGTAGGCGAGAGAACGCCTGAGAGGACGTATGGTGGATTTCATTGGAGCGGGGAGAAGCACGGTGAGCTAGGCGGGGTGGATAGGGGTAGGTGGTGAGGAGGCAACAGGTGTTGAGAGAGCGATTATGGGCAAGTGGTAGTCTACTCTTCTTTCTTTTGGTTACCAGTTTCTTACAATCGCAATCTAATAATTTGCGTCGCCGCTATGTTTGGAGTCATGAAGTGTCTGCGGTTGTCACAAATCATAACAATTCCATGCAAACCAGAGTGTACTATGGTCTGTTTACTTTTCTAAATTATAGTGCTTTTGTTGTTTGGGGACATGTTTTAGCAAAAGATTAACTAGGATAATATTGGGTTGTCAAGATATGGGTGAGGAGATAATTGTCTTGTATGAATCCTGAAAGCATTCACTTGGTAGGACAACCAAAGTTGTGAATTCTACCTGGGTGTTAAATATTTGAACTGAAGTGTTCAAAAGATAGGTTCATCTGTTTTATGTACATGAATGGAATTTTTCTTTGAAATGTATGTAAAATTCACGTTTGCACCTCAGTCAGCAACATTTACGGCAACGGTAGGCCGAGCTGGTTCCTGTTTTCTTGTTATCGGTACATGTTGACAGGATTTGCTGCTGCCCTATTTGTAAAATTTTCTCCAAAAAATTTTGGGCAGCCCTAAAATACAACACCAAGTGCTGCAAATATACAGCAGCCGTGGCTGCCACAAAATTTTAGGGCAGTGGGGGGCCATGCAGGACGATAAAAAAGCAGCTGTTTTACATCACTGTGTGCCAAAAAAGCTGCTCCAACAGCTGCCCTAAAATAGGACACCCACAAAAAGACTGACGTGATGTATCTTAGGGCACCAATTTGAGGGCAGCTGTTGGAGATGAACATTTTCTGGTGCTCTAAAAACAACTTTTTGGTGCCCCAAATTTTATTCCAACCACTTTTTTTCTGCTCTATTATAGGGCTGCTGTTGGAGATGCTCTTTAGCAACTAGTATAAGCCAGTGCAATTGCCTGACCTATTACATTAGTTTCTCAAAATTCTTTGATTGGCCTTTTTCCTTGTGGATTCTATTTCAAGTGAACTATTAATGAGAGAGCTGCTCTAATATTTTCCACTTATTTATGTTCAGGTACAAGTTTGCTGTAATCACATGCGAAGGCAAGATGAGATAAATCAGGTCATAATTCATGAGTTAGTACATGCTTATGATGACTGTGTTGTCAAGAACATCGACTGGAAAAACTGCGCTCACCAGGCTTGCTCTGAGGTAGTGAAATACTTGTCATATAAATGGAAGTTATTGGCATGTTACTGTGCCACTGAAACTTATGTTCTGTTGTGAGTTATTGTAATTGGCTTACATTGTGTTATTTATTCTTAGATTCGAGCTAATCATCTTAGTGGCAATTGCCATTACAAACGTGAACTGATGAAAGGCTTCCTGAAGATAAAGGGGCATGAGCCAGTAAGTATTTTTTTTAGCAAAAGCAAAACAGCCTTTTTGTAGTCCTGTTATTGAGCTCACACCACATATGGCATTGGTTCTCTGTTAGCAAGCTACAAACTTTGAATAGTTAAATATAGTGAATCACTATTGGTGACTATTGAAATTGTTTACAGCTTCACTGTGGTTCTTGACTTGTTAGCTAATGAGCGTGATTTTCCTATTTTCATTTTTATTTTGCCAATCGAATGTTTATGCCTGCTGTGACGTTTTCTGCATTTCTGAAGGAATGTGTCAAAAGACGTGCGCTGCTTTCTGTCAAGAACAACCCGCACTGTTCAGAAAAGGCTGCAGAAGCTGCAGTTGAGAAGGTGTGGGATATGTGCTACAACGACCCACGCCCGTTTGATAAGGCTCTATGAAGTGAAAGCTGCCAGGGCAGTTTTGTTAACTTTCAGCCGGGTTCTATCAAGTGTATCCTGTGGGACAGTCTAGTCTCTCTTCAGACGGGCTCCATGAAGTACTTAGCAAAGCGTTGCAACAAAATCTGGAAATTTGGTGCTGGAGCAAAACTTTGAATGCCATGACATTAGTCCAGACAATCTAACAGATTATTCCATGTAATGCAATTGTTTTACATGGCATATAGTGACAGCTGACTGAGCTATAAATAAGAGTGGCTGTGAATGATTAATTCTTTATACCAGCTAAATATTACTTAAGATATTCCCTTTTTTTCTTCCCTTTTGAAATTTCAGCCCTTTGGAAATGCATTTAGAACTACAGGGATGCTGACAATGTGGCGTCGGTTGGCTTGTGTGCCCTGTGTGGGCATGCGAGGGCGTGTGGTGGTGCGGCATGGATGTGCAGGGAGGCGTTGTGTTGGCTCGTTGGGTGTTCAGGCAGCCTGGAATTGGTGCCTAGATGCCTGGGCAACGCCTTGGGTTGCTCAGACCTGGTGAGAAGAGGACGTGTCGGTGTAGTGCGTCAGCGATCGGGCCTGAGCTACTGCGTGCAATGGTGCGTTGTCGGGGTCCTTGTTGCATGCCATCTTTGGGCTGCGCAAGGGCGAGAGTGATGTGCTGCTTCCGCGTTGTGAAGGTGGAAGGTAGGATGGGCTCGCTGGGTCATGGGTTTGGGCAGGTGATGCTGTTGGCGACCAAAATAGTCGACGATGATACAGGCACTGTTTCCTTGCTGGAGGCATCGATGTTGCAGTTCTTTCTTTAACTTTTCTACTCCCTCCGTTTCAAATTACTCGTCGTAGAAATGGATGTATCTAGAACTAAAATACATCTAGATACATCCATACCTGCGACAAGTAATTCGGAACGGAGGGAATAGTATGCTATGGAGAATCCCTAGATCTGGTCTCCTAGGTCGGATGATGATGTCGCTATTGGCTTTGCGAGGCGTTGTGTTTCTGGGCATCGTCTTGTAGTTGGACTTGGGGCTCGCGGAGGTGGTCGGTTGTGGCTAGCGTGACATCTCCGTGGAGGCATCAGGAGTACCCTCCACATGCAAGCAGCGCCAGGTGGGTTACGTGGCCACCTCATGGGATCAGATTGTCGTATGTTTGCTCCATCGGACATAGCTTTCTTCTTGGATGTCATTGGGTTTCATGGATATGCTTGTCCAGCCTGGATTGGTACAACATTTTCGGTGTGCACTCTGGCAGCAGTGAAGGTGCTTGAGTGCCCGACATGGGTGTGTAGTGGGCTGTTTGCCTTTTGGCGTGTCATATTATTGTGCTGTTTTTGGCCTAATCAAGCTAGGTGATGTTTAAGTTTTCACTCAGTATTCCTGAATAAACTGATCAACCTTTTTCTTCTTCTTTTTTGGCACTTGCATTATGCAGTGCGTTCCTCGTACCAGGTTGTTACTTGTAATACTCCTTTTCTAATCAATGGATTTGGCAGGTCTCCAGCTAACATTCGAAAAAGAAGGCTCAACAGAGTACAGTTCACTTTACAACATATGCCACAAACAAAACAGAAAATTGCAACAAGACCCTTTGGATACATGTGTAGATGTCGGCATGCCTCATGAGCTTTGTCTCGAACTGCCACAATGACGCAGAGCATCCGAAAGGATCGAGAGGTCGACGAAAATGAGGAAGGTGATTAGAAAATTATAACATTTAAGCTTAACTTTCAAATTTAGGCCAATATACCGATAAAATAGGTTCTGTGAATGTGAAACTAAACGAACACAACCTATATGCCAGACGAGCTCAAAGCAAAGTATGCTAGCAGTCCACGGCCAAAAAAAATTGACTTGCACCTAGAAAAATCAGGCGACCTACAAATAGCGGCTCTTTTTTTAGTTTTTTTTGAGACAGTCTCATTTTTTTAGTGATGGAGAGATAAATCGCTAGCAAGGAGGGCCAACGCCTCCCTACATCGCGCAGCCCAGCATTAGCTTTCTTGCTTAGCCCAATTACCTTCCGGCCCATCTAGTTTTGCACGTCCCGAAGGGATCAGTCGCTAGAGATCGTTTCCCTCAAAAAAAAAAAAATCGCTAGAGATCCGAACTTTCTGAAGACCTAAACCCCCTCTGTCTTCTCGGCCTCGGGAGCCCACGACGCAGCCGCCGGCAGAGGTAGAAAACAATGGCGGCCGCCGCGGGTGACGGCGGCAGCGTCCCGCAGAAAACTACCAGAGGGGAGGCACCTTCCGCCTCTGACCCGCCCGTACCCCGGCATATCATGCCGCACGAGGAGTGCGTCGCCGGCGTCCGCTCGGCTCTCAAAGGTACGCGCTTGCTTACGCCTCTACTCACCCACCGCCGCTTCTTCCTTCCTCTCGACGTGTCTGTGAACTCCATCCCCTGACTCGCCTTGTCGATTTTGGTGGGTAGATCCGACGGTGCGGTTCCTGAGGGAGCGGATGGAGAAAGCCGGGTGCACCGTGTGGCCGATGCTGATCCGGGCGGCCACCTGCGCCTCTGCCGGGGGCTACGCAAGCCGCGAGGGGGTACGCTGTTCTTTCATTCCCTCCTCCCCTTACTATCGTTGCTTTATGGTTGGCACTCACTCTTACAAGGGTTCATGTTGGCAATCTAATAATTTGCATTGCCGCTATGTCTGGAGATAGAAAATGTCTGCGGTTGTTGACAAGTCATAACAATTCGTGCAAACTGGCGTACTATGGTCTCTGATTTTGTAAATTACAGCGCTTTTGTTGTTTGGATACATGTTTTAGCAAAGGATTAACTAGGATATTGTTTGGTTGTCAAGGTTTGGTTGAGGAGATAATTGTCCTGACTGAATCTTGAGAGCATTCACTTGGAAGAACAACCAAAATTGTGAATTTTTCTCAGGTGTTAGTATCTCCAACAGATGATGCACAATAGGGCAAGTGCCCAAAAAACTGCTTTTTAGGCCATTTGGACCCAAAAACAGTGCTGCAGCAGATGATGTATCTGCAAATGGTGCTGCAATTTTTTTGGGCAGCTCCATATTTTGGCACCAAGTGCTGCATATTTGCAGCACTCCATCCGGCTGCCGCAAAGTACGTCAGCAGCTGCGTGCAGGCCAACTGTCACGCTTAAAGTTCCCGCCGCCGCACCCACCTCTCCCACACAACCGCCGCCGGCGGGATCTCGCCATTCCACGCCACAGCCGCACAGCTGCGAGCCCGCCGTCCTCGCTGGGCTCAGCCATAACTCCGCCGCCCAATCCCACCATTCCGGACGGCCGCAACAGCCCTGCCACTGTTGTCGATTCGGGATCCGCCGCCGCCTCGGATTGCGCTGATTCTGGCCATTTGCCACCCCTTCGCTGCCCTTAATGGTCACTGCAGCACCACTGCTCACCGTTGAGATTGATTAGCGGCTGCCTCGACCGCCACTTGACCGCCTGGACCTTTTGGCTTTCGGATGGTGCGGCAGCGACGGAGGCTCGAGAAGATCAACCCTTGGCCATTCCTAGCCGGCGCGGCGACAACCTCGGCCCTGACAAGCAGCCGGCTGGATTTCTCCTCCTTGCGCACTAGGTGTTAGACCAAAAGCCTCAAAGGTAAAAAAATTTGTTTTTTTGTTGTGATACAGGAGTAGACTGTAATGGGAAGTATTGTGTTGTAAATGAGTTCGTTCGAGTCCTCTCCTTGGGATGTTTCTCCTCCGTAGAATATGATATGAATGAAGACGAGGACATTGCTTTGATCAGGATGATGTACATGCATAAGAACAAGAGGCCGAAGCATGGTGATTCGAGGAGGAATTGCGGCGGAGATCTTTTTTATTTGAGAGTATGGCGCGGAGTGTTGGCCGACTAAAAGGCGACATGTTCAACAGTTAGGTGTGGCGGAGATGCGTATGTTGAGATGGATGTGTGGCCACACGAGGAAGGATCGAGTCCGGAATGATGATATACGAGATAGAGTTGGGGTAGCACCAATTGAGGAGAAGCTTGTCCAACATCGTCTGAGATGGTTTGGGCATATTCAGCGCAGGCCTCCAGAAGCTCCAGTGCATAGCGGACGGCTAAAGCGTGCGAAGAATGTCAAGAGAGGACGGGGTAGACCGAATTTGACATGGGAGGAGTCCGTTAAGAGAGACCTGAAGGATTGGAGTATCACCAAAGAGCTAGCTGTGGACAGGGGTGCGTGGAAGCTTGCTATCCATGTGCCAGAGCCATGAGTTGGTTGCGAGATCTTATGGGTTTCACCTCTAGCCTACCCCAACTTGTTTGGGACTCAAGGCTTTGTTGTTGTTGTTGTTGTTGTTGTTGTTGTAGAGTAATTGCGGCGGAGATCTTGGACATAGCACTATCCAGAAGGTGACTATATCATTATGCATGATGACATATGGTGTTCCGGCAGATTTCATTGATGATCACTTGGTAATAGGAGAGAGCACTTCAATCTTGTGTGTCATGAAATTTGCAAAGGCAGTGGTTGAAGTGTTCGTCTAGAGTATTTGAGAGCACCCAATGCTCAGGACACTCAGAGGCTTTTGAGCGCCCTATTATACACTAACTGTTGGAGATGCTCTTAGTACTATAGGTAAAAGATAGGTTGATCTGCTTTATGTAGTTTGTTGGAGTTTTGTCTTAAAATTTTATTTAAAGTTTACGTTTGCATCTCTGCCAGCAATATTTCGACAAAGGTAGACCGAGCTGGTTCCCGTATTGATGTTATCAGTACAGGTTGACCGGATGCTATGTTTCTAGATTTATTTGCTATAAGCTCTTTGCCTACTTAAAATTGCATGCTTTATGTGTATGTTGTAGTGTATTGGATCAATGAAACTTCAGTTATATTGGCAGCGTTCATGCTATCACCTTAAACATGTCTCCCTTAGTCTTCATGCCTCATGCCTACTTGGTCCGTTTCTGGCCTCATGCAGGACAGTGCCGTTGAAATGTTTATGTGGATTGCCTAGCCCTTTCCATCACTAGTGCATGAAGCTTAACATGTGCTACTCTTCCCTTCACCCTTGCCCTCTCCCACTTCTCTCTCCTCCATTTTTCTAATGCCAGCCGGCACTGCTGTCCACCGTCTGTCCCCGCCACCTCCAGCGGTGCAAGTCGGGGGAGCCACCATGCCCCGATATCAGCCACCTCGTTGCCGTTGAGGTTAACGCTGGGCAGCCCCTCCCCCCTCGCTTCTTCGTCCTACTTCACCATTCCTTCTCCGCCGTGCACCACGCTATAAGCCACAACAAATGTTCGCGTGGTATATTTTCCCATTATGTATTGTATGGTTATCCCTTAACTAAGATTGTATGGACCAAGTTGTCGGCTAACCATTATAGCAGTCTTGTTGTTTTCCCTCAATGGTATTTTTTTTTCTTTGTATTAGTTGTCGTACTAAATCAGCAACAATTAATATGGATCGGAGGGAGTATATTATTTTCCTCAAAATTCTTCGATTGGCCTTACATCTTTCCTTGTGGATTCTTTTTCAAGTGAATTACTGACGAGAGAACTGCTATAATAATTTCCAGTTATTTATGTCCAGATAGAAGTTTGCTGTAATCACATGGAATATCCCGATCAGATAACTCAGACCATAACTCATGAGTTAATACATGCTTATGATGACTGTGTTGGCAAGAACATGGACTGGACGAACTGCGCTCACCATGCTTGCTCTGAGGTATCAAAGTACTTGTCATATAAATGGAATTTATTGGCATGTTACTGTGCCACATAAACTTATGTTTTGTTGTGAGCTATTGGTAATTAATTGGCTTACACTGTATTGTTCATTCTTAGATTCGAGCTAATCATCTTAGTGGCAATTGCCATTACAAACGTGAACTGATGAAAGGCTTCCTGAAGATAAGGGGGCATGAGCCAGTAAGTTTTTTTTACAGAAAGCAAAACTGCCTTTTGCTGTCTTTTTGTTATTGAGCTCATACCACATAATGACATTGATTCTCTCTTTGCTATGCGAATCCTGCGTTCTCTAGTGTCTCTGCAGCTTCCAAGTTCCATACATCCATCATCTTTGTGTACAGCCTATTCAGTTCAATCGAACTTCTATTAGCAAGTTACAGACTTTGAATAATTAAATATAGATAACCATTATTGGTATTTTCTACAGTTTCCATGTGGTTCTCGACTTGTTAGCTAATGAGCGTACTTTTCCTATTTTTATTTTAAATTTTCCAATTGAATGTTTATGTCTGCTGTGACCTTATCTGCATTTCTGAAGGAATGTGTTAAAAGACGTTCGCTGGAATCTGTCAAGAACAACCCTTACTGTTCAGAGACAGCTGCAAAAGATGCAATTGAGGCTGTGTGGAATATATGCTACAACGACACACGCCCGTTTGATAGGGCTCCATGAAGTGCAAGCTGTTGAGAGATTTTTGTGTCCTTTCAGATGAGCTCTACGAAGTTCAAGCCTGTGGGACAGGTTAGTTTCCCTTGAGATGGGCTCCATGAAGTACAAGCCTGTCGGGACAGTTTAGGTTCGCTTCAGATTGTACTTCTGCAGAGCGTTGCAACAAAATCTGGAAATTTGGCGCTGAACCAAAACTTTGAATGTATATTAGTCCAAACAATGTAGCAACAGATTATTCCATGCAATTGAATTCTTTTGCATGGCACATTGTGACAGAGTTCACTGAGCTCAAAATAAGACTGGGCGTAACTGATTAATTCTTTGCCAGGTAAATATATTGCTTAACGCATTCCCTTCTTTCAGCCTTTTTTGAAATTTGAACCTTCTGGAAATGCATTTAGAACTAATACACAGAACCCAGTCACAGTTATTCTACCAATAGCATTGTTCTGCATTTCAACCTCCAACCAACTCACTAATGTACTCCCTCCGATCCTAAATATAAGTCTTTTTGGAGATTCCTAAGGGACTATATACAGAGCAAAATGAGTGAATCTATGCTCTAAAATATGTCTATATACATCTGTATGTAGTTTCTGTTGAAATCTTTAAAAAGACATGTATTTAGAAACGGGGGAGTACATTCGAGCCACTGTCGTGCTATATTCACAATATTAATAATCAGGTCTCAACATTAATAATCATGTATTGAACAGTCAAAATTATGTTATGGTACAGTAACTCAAAATCTGCTGCCGTCACTAAATGTCATGGTTTTACCGCAAAGTTTTTCATTTGAAAACTTCACTATAGTAACTGTTGTACCCTGGAAATCTGGGGATGTTCTGTAAACAGGGCTATGGATACCCATGATGGGCATGGTAATGATAATTAGTACTCCGTATCACAGTACTAGTAGATGATCTCGAGATTCTGATACAGCAAATGGCGACAGTATCATGCCATATCCACTCAGACAATCCCCATCACAAACCCATTTCACTCGCTTTTGCAAAGTAGGAGGGCACCAAAGTGTCCATAGGCACCAACAACTCTACCCCGGTTTCAGTTAAAGACAAGGCGAGCACGGCTAATCCAGCTACAATACACGAAGCTACAGAGAGTAGCTACCCAATGATGCCCGCGTTCATGAGTGCCATGTCGATCTTGACGACAAGGTAAAGAAAGGCCAAGGAAACCAAATCCCCAAAAATGTTTGCCCTTGATCAAGGCATGATCCATCCTTCCTAACCATCACTGTCAATCTAGCTACTAGCTCTAGGTGGCCACTTTCACGAACTATCAGGGTACTTAAAGCGGCGTCAGCATTCAGTAGGCAGTAGCCGCCGCCTCTTTTTCGGCTTAAAAACTGCGCTGAGGACACCCAATCCCATGAGGCTAAGCTAGCGTTAGCACAGCAATCAACCAATGGCATGCACAACAAATGCAATTTCAAATCCCAGTGAGGCTTGGCAAATCAGCATGGGAATCTTGAGCAGATGATATTCAGGCTACCTAGCTAGCTAGGCCCAGAGGCCATGAGGCTACTGAAGAATCAAGTTCAAATAGTGCTAACTAAACAAAACCCATGCTTAGCAACACCTTTCATGGTTTCATTCAAAACCACACCCACCACTCCACTACTCCATGTAGTTAGTACTTAGTAGTACTAATCACTAGTTAATCGCGGCTTCGGTATTCGCGTGACCGAGCTGGTTAAACAAATCCCATGTGGCGCGGCCGAGTGGAGCTCACGTGAGGCGCCATTAAACTAGCTGATCATCAGCTCACGGCCCCAGAAAGAAAGGCAGGGAGGGGAGGTTAAACAAGGCCGGGAGCTCCAGGAACTATAGATTCTTCCCGTGGGATGCCATGCGAGGACCAAGGCAAGGAGGAGGAGGAGGGAGGGGGACAGGACGGACGCAGGTATTAAAATTCAGAGCCGTGTAAATCTCCTGTCCTTTGACTTGCGAGCTGTCTTCGCTCCAATGCCCTTGATCGGCTATATATATGCACCGAACATACATAGACACTCAGGTGCAGCAGGTTAGCTGGATTGAGGTGAGAATCAGTTGAGAGGAGCAGAGCGCGCAACGGGTGTGGAGAAGGCATGAGGTTGCTAGGTGGGATTGTGAGGCTTGTTGCTCTGGTGTTGATGTTGGTCGTCGGTTCGTCGGTTCACCAGGCGGTGGGAGTTGGTAAGTCATCTGTCATACTTTCTTTTGCTGGATTCTGAAGTGTTGATGTTTGCGATTCGCTTGGTGATGAGTGTGCTCTGAAACTTGTTTTGTTCTTGTGGATGGTGAAGGTGCTATCAGGCTGCACGACAGAAGGACGCACGGGGAGCAGTGGGCGGAGGAGAGGATGCAGATGAGGTCCTACATGACCATGGACTACACCCGCGTCAAGCGCCGCACGCCCAAGCACAACTGATTCAGCTATAGCTAGCTAGAAGAAAGCCTCTTGTCTCCGGGCTCTGGCTCCTTCAGCAGCGACCGTCTGCTCAAATGTGTTAGCAGGGGAAGCTCTGGATTCAGCTAGCGATCGAGAAGAAGCTCTCAGCTCCCCTAATCCTCCTTCTTACTTCTTTAGTAGTATGTGTGTGTATGTATGCGTCCGGCGTGCAGATCCATCTGTGCACGCAAATTTTGCCCCCTGACCAAATGTTATTACTACTAGCTTGATTAATTTAGGATATATACTTACGCAGTTATTATGGTAGCACTAGCAGTGTTCATCTTTCAGTTACACTTTTGTAAGAAGGTACTGTAGTAATGTGGATTCGTTTGGTGAAGTCCTGGTTATTTCCCCTGTAAGAGGAGTGATCATGCACTACTGTAACATCTCAATCGTAATGGAACCAGACGAGCCCACTGAGCAGCATATGTTTGCTATATTGATTGATTGTCTCTATGGCCGTTCGATTGGTGCAGTTTTCATGCGCGCGCTTTCCTCACGATGGATCACATTCGCCAACGCTCTATGGATCGGCAGTTTGTAACTAGCACCTCTCAGAAGACGACATGCAGGCAAATGCACTGTTTGACGAACGTTCAGAATATTGGTTCTGCCCCAAAGATGACATATAAGCAAATGCTAAAGATTGCTATCAGCGACTGTTGCATTGCGGTGATGATAATATGGTCCATATCCATTCGTGCGGATAGTATTTTGAATCTTCTGAGGGGATCAGGGATGTCGCATCAGATGGCATTCTGCTTAAAGTTTGAACAGTATGAGCGCGCGTGCTGTGCTAACAGCCTATCATATACAAGAAGCGGCCATATATTTGCGCGTGTTTTTTCAAATGCTCAACTGCTCACGAGACACTTAAATTAAAGGTCTTCATAGCTCCTCTACACCCTATCAGTATCAATATACTCCCTCCGTCCAATAATATAAAAACGTTTTTGACACTACACTAGTACCAAAAACACTCTTATATTATGGGACGGAGGAAGTAATACTAGGTATATCACCTCTTTACAAGCTCAGCTCAACAACGCCGTTTGTTACATTGCATGATTAATTTTAGTCCTGTTTTTCTGGTCGCTCACTTCCAGCCCCTTTGCGACAGAGCAAGGAAGTGCAACGCACCACCATTCTACACACTATTAAACCTCCCATCTGCTGAATAGAAGAGAAAAGTATAAATGCCATTTTTACTTTTCAAGAGTTTCAGGCTGAGCGATCTCCCATATCAGCACTAGGTAACTCGATCACGAGGAGGAAAACACGCAGTGAACGCTGCTGCTAGTACTTTTTACTGCATTTACCGCGAAACCACCGAGAGGAGCGCGAGCAGCAGCACGATTCACACCGGTCCAGCTTTGCAACTTGCTGTAAGCACTACCAAGAGTCCAAGAGCAAACCAAAAGGGGTTCATGGATCGAAAGCGAGGATCACATGGATCGCCTGGGGCACTGCAGCCTCCGTGGGAACAAGAGTCCAGCGCCATCAGAAGGGTGATTAGGCTTTTGACCACCGGTTTTTCCTTGCCTGGGAACAAGCTTTGAGCCTTTGACGCGCGCCCCGGCTGCTGCTTCGGGAACGTTGCCTTTTCAGACGCGCAGCAGTACGGCACATGGCCATTGGCTTTTCTTTGTGCGGATGATCCCCTCGGTGTTCTCCGGACACGTAGAACCGCATGCTGCTAGGTACGCCGTCGATCAGGTACAGCCTACGGTGCACACAACCAGTATTAGAGCATCCGGATACACCACGTCCGGCCTCTCACATGTCCGCGGACACGCACAGGTGTGTCTACTGATCAGAGCAACTTCAACAAACCGATCCAAATGGATAGCGTTTTTGTCCGCTTTTTATCTATTTGGGTCGGCCGTCCGCCTGCCGTCCGTACTCTTTTAGTTTCGGGTCGGCAGTGCGCTCAACGGACCGACCCATTTTATGACCGCGCGCGTTTTAGATCATGCCGTCGCCTTGGTTTTGGCGCACCAGCGCGCGGGAAAGGTTCGCGCGCGCGGGGGAAAGCGGCCTAGCACTCGTTGGTTTTGGCGCTCCAGCGCGCAGGAAAGGTTCGCGCGCGCGCCGCGGCCGGCGCTCGTTATAAGAAGGCACTCCCTCCACACTCTGTCCGCCGCCCACTCTCGCCGCCTCTGCGCCACCATGTCGATCCGCCGCCTGGGCGCTTCAGAATTATCTATGTATCCATTTTTATCTAAAAAATGGCCGGCGACGTAGCAAGCGGGCGAGGGTGTGAATCCAATATGCCACCGACCAGCGGGCCCGGTGAGAAAAGAGGGCGAGCGCGTGCGCCCGTCTTGTGTTCGCGCCGACGCAAATCAGGCTAAAAAAATAGGCCGGTAATGGGTCGGCAGGCGGACGAAAGCGGACGCGCATCCGTTTGGGTCGGCGCGTTGGGCCGGCTTTTTTTTCCACGCCGACCCAAACGGACGGCCGCGGACAAAATGGGTCGCCTCATTGGAGTTGCTCTCACATCTTAAATTTTCGTTTCCACAACCGAATACTCCAATTATGAATTTTTAAATCCATATAATTACATGCAATGTAAAATCTAATCTATATCTTCCACGGCGCTCGTCCGATTCCAAGGCCGTGTCCATGTCCGGCGACCGGCTGAGCCTCTTGGAGTGATGGTGATCTCGCCGACGAGGTAGAGTAGGACATGGGCGGACCAGCTCGCGGGAGTCGAGGCACCGCTATCTTTCATGATCTACTCTTCCTCATCGAAGCCCGTGACCTACACGTCGCCGGTCGATGTGAGGTCCACGATAGATATGTCGTGGTGGGAGGCCGACACGTCCAGCATGACGCAATTGCGGCGCTAGGGGTTGTTGGTCACCCGTAGCGGTGTCATGGCGTGCGACTCCGCCTTGCCGACATCTGCCGCGAGGGCCTCTCACGCCCTCTGGCTCACACGACAGAGACGCTGCGCCATATTAGCCTCTCCCCATCAGACGTGCCATAAGTGCGAGTGTTTACCTTCGACTCGGCGCACCAATGAAGGGGTTGCGCCTCCGCCACGACGTTGGGACGCCAGACGGACCATACCGCCTCTGGCGAGGCAGCGGCAACATTCCTCGCGCCGGATTCAAGCATCATTTGGGCGGGAGTTACGGATTCCCGTCGGGTCGAGTCCGACCGCTGTCAAGCGGACTCCTCCCGTGAGCGGCGGAGCGTAATGTGGACAACCATCTCCTCCTCGGGCCCACATGAAAGAGCTCCCAGTCCATGGATCGGGTGACCGAGGACTCGGATCCACTACCTGCCATACCGGAGATCGCTGAAATGGGGCTTGGAGGCAGAGTGGAGTGAAGTGGTTAGGGTTTCGTCCGGAGAGTGGATGAGGACGAACATATGTGGGGTCGAAGTGGGCCAGCGTGCGCCTGATTCGAAGTGACAGATGTGTCCGGTCCTTCCCATATTCATCCTAGATTTGGGCTAGATATGAGAGGTGCAGGTCAGCCCGAATGTATAGAGCTGGTATAAGATTTTCGTCTGGGTCGGTTTGTTACCAGTCAGCGACTGAACCGTTCGCTCAGGCGTATAGGATGGTTTTGGGAGCCTGAATGACTCCCCAAATTGACCGGATATGAGAGAGAAAAATTTAACCCAACCAGACTTTGCAAAGACTCCTTGAACGCTCGGTTGTCCAGCACTCCTCATACTCAACCCATATATGGGGCAATATGAGGAGTGTTCGGGCATGTCCGGTCAGTGGTCCAGCGTCCACCACATAAAATTGACCCATCACGGATTATTTGTTCTTTTTATTTATTCTTTCTAGTTTTTCTCTCTACATCTCCACCAATCATATGCATGTAACTGGATGTATAGGGGAAAAGTGAGGGACATGACCGTGGAAACAAAAATTTAAGGGTGACCAATCGCCGCTTGCGGATGTGTGAGGGGCCTAATTTGATGTAGGCGGTTGTAGATGCTCTTACACCTTTCAGGCAAAGTTTCTTCCACAGGGAATGAATTTTATTAACTTTTTTTTGTGGGAGATAATTTTATTAACTTAAAAGTGAAGCATTAAAGGAATACAAGTACAAAGAGTGTATATCTGGCCTCTAAATAGCTAAAATACACACAACCAACATCAAAGCATATACATATAAACACATCGGCAAATCAGAAAATCATATATAAGATCAAAGTTATGTCTAAGCGTGAAAAAAAAAATCAGAAGCAACAAAAACAACGATCCACAAGGTGTATCAATGATCATATCCGCACTAATCATTTTTTAACGCCAAGTACGATTCAGAAAGGTATTCAACAACAATAACATCGTGAAGGGAGCGACGCTGAAGCGTTGTCGTTACCAGATCCAACTATCAATGGGAAGATTCAAGGTTTTCACCCAAAAACATTGCCATTGTTAGGCAAAACCAACTCGGTTCATGCCTAGGGTTTTCAGCGTGGAGCTCTAGACTGGGTACTCGAGAAGCATCATCAAATCAGAGGCAATCAAGTGTTGTCGCCGTCACTTTACTCGATCCCAGCAGCTAAATGCGGTGGGTCAAAAGTTCCACCGCATCGTTGCACAACTATACCCTCTGTGTTAGTGCATAGATTGCATCTTACTGTCGAAGATGAACTAGTTAGAGTGAGAGCAGTTAAAACTCACACAGGAGTCCTTTGGCTACATCCTGCAATCGATGAGCCGCCAACAACAATCATCGGATCCGAAGAGAGGAACACTCACGATCCATCACAACCCGTAGATTGAGGGCGCAACTAAGAGTCTAATATTGTGTGCATCTAATTGCAAAAAATAGATTTTCTTCATCTTGGAGTTATTATTAGTGTCTCAAGTAGTAGTACCAATTAGGCGATTACTAGTAGTGTCGAAAAAGGGTGCCGGGCTACATAGTGAAAAAGGCCACCATGGTCCATGGCGCGGCGTAGCACACACATTTTCCGTTGGCAAGCGCCTTGCACCTAGA